CCTGAGTCCTCTCTCTTCCCTTTTTTGAAGATGGGGACCACGTTAGCTAACTTGCAATCATCTGGCACCTAGCCCAAGCACCACGAGCACTCGTAAAGCCGTGCCAAGGGCCAAGGGATCATCAAGTCCAACCCCCTGCTATGGCAGGAAAGAGTACTGGGGTCAAATGACTCATGCAAGTTGTTCGTCTAGCCTCCTCTTAAAGACCCCCAGGGTAGAAGCCAGCACCACTTCGCTTGGAAGTTGGTTCCAGATCCTAGCCACCCTGACAGTGAAGTAGCGCCTTTTGATATCTAGCCTGAATCTACCCTCTGCCAGCTTGTGTCCATTATTTCTAGTCACTCCTGGTAGCGCTTGGGAGAACAGAGACTCCCCCAATGCCTGCTGGTCCCCTCTGACTAGTTTGTAAAAGGCCACTAGATCCCCCTCAGCCTTCTCTTGTGGAGGCTGAACAGGTTCAGGTCCTGTAGCCTCTCCTCGTAGGGCCTGCCCTGCTGCCCCCAATCATGTGAGTGGCCCTCCTCTGGACCCTCTCTCTCCATGTCGTCCACATCCCTCCTGAAGTGTGGCGCCCAGAACTGGACGCAGTACTCCAGCTGTGGCCTGACCAGTATCGCATAGAGACGGAGGATTAGTTAACAGATCTTCATTTTTTTTTTCGATTTCAGAAGTATCAAGCTACTTCATGAGAAAGCATTAACATCACCCAAAAAACTGAAAATGGGAAAAGAATTAAAAAGTATGACAAAGACTTATCCCAAAAAAATGCAGATAAAGGCTGGATTCTCTGCCTATTTTTAATAGCTGACATCATCAGCACCTAAAGTAGGATGAAAAGTGTAGCTTCCTGAAGGATCCAATTAAGTCTATCATGACTTGAGGCTCCCAATGCACTCTCTGTACACAGAATCCTATCAAATATACTCACATACTACATACGCCCTTCCCCCTCCAAAAAATTGGCCCTCCAAAATTGGGGTGCATTCTTCATCAGTGAAACTGATTTCTTTTCTACTGGAATAGAAGCAGGAAAGAATAGAAGCATGCAAATGCTGTGTTTTAATGGCTATTGCTTTTCTCTAGCCCCAGCAAACAGAAGGGCGGAGTCCTATGTTAACTCTCTCAAAGCTACAGTGGCTATTGGCTGAGCACTACGGCTTGTGCCAGAAACAACAATTCAGCTGACTCGAGCCAAGTGAACGGCTGCATACAGTCTGTAGTACTTTGATGGGACTTCTGGTATAGAAATAACTTGATTATTTACAGGAAATTATATAAAGAACTATTTATAGTAAAGAAGTAGCAGTCTTTGCAACCATCTGGGACCTAGCCTTGTTGCTGTACTGCCTCACAAGGAAGTTCCTGCTGCCTCACCCAGACTGTCTTCTGGTATGTCACACTTCCTGGACACACTACATTTCCAGGAGGACTTACTCCATGTCACACAGTTAGCTGTGACTCTGGAAAAATTTGGAAAAAAACTTTTTTTTCTATATTCTTCCTTCCAAAAACAATGTGTGTGTCTTATTTGGGACATTGTAATATGTGAGAAAATATGGCATTAACAGTCTCATTTTACAGGCATTCCTCAGACTTACGATGCAATTGGTTCCTGAAAGCCACATCTTAAGTTAAAATGTCGTAACTTGGAACCAATTTCTCCATAGGAACAGTGTTATAAATGGGGGGTTGGTTCCTTTACGACGGTCAATACTGCGTGCAGTTGGTAAGTGGTGGAAGGGGAGGGGGAAGAAGGAAAGGGGCATGGTGGGGCAAATTAACACCCCCTGTAGTAAGGGAGGGACTGGGGCAAACGCTGTCCAGCTGGGGCACTGAGGGAGGGCAGCAGCTCCCGCCACTGCACGCTTCTCATCTGGTAGCTTGACTGGTGATTCCTGCCATTGCTTGCCCAGCTGGAGTGAGGCAGGCATGGGGCAGAGCCACTGCGCTGCCTCTGGACAAGCAGCATGCAGCAGCAGGAGCTGCCCCCTCTTCCCCAAGCCCCCTGGATGAGCCACAGATTTGAGGCATGATCCCCTAGATCAGGATGGGGCAAGTGGGAGAGCAGGGGCTACAGCCACCTGAAAATTCACCATAGCCTCCACCGCCTGCCCACAGCGCAGCACACTGCAGCCCCAGCCCTGCCCACCCCACGCCATGCAGATCTGGGGGCGCACACCCCACCATGACCAGCAGTGGGAGCAGCGGCAGGAACCACTAAGTCAAGCCACCAGATGAGCAGAGCACATCAGTGGGATCCACTACCACCACTCCCTGCAGCTGCCTGGCCCTGGCTTGGTGGTACTTGCTCCAGCCTGGTCTCTGAATCAGCATCAAAGATTTGGATTCAGCAGAATCAAATCAGGGCCAGTGATCTGAATCAACGAATCAAATCACTATCCCCAATTCGGGACACCCCTAGTAAATCTTCTGTTATGTGATCGGTGTGGCAGAAGCTCGCAGTCAGCTGCTTTGTGTGGTGCATTGTGGGAGTGACACGCACCAAAATATAGTCTCCTGTGTGGATCTGTGCTCCTCACTCGCTTATAAAAAGGATCCCCATTTTTATAAGCCCCTGAACAGCAATCAGATTAAAGTAATTGAGTCACGCTAGATCTGGGTTCCAGGTTTGAAACAATAACCGAAGACCTGCTCCTAGAGCCATCATCGTAGGAATCGGTCCTTAACAACACATTTCTGGTTCAGCTACTCAAAAAGAAAAAAAAGACACTACAAAGATAAAACAGTCCTTTCCTATGGAAACCAATTTACAGAATTTAAGCAGTAAAAAGAAACTGTCAAAGTGATTAAGTATTTGCCAAAAAAGTGTCCTGTCATACACCAAGAAATAAAAGTGGAAGGGAAAGAAGCAGCTACTAATCTCAAGAGCATACCTGCAACTATCAATATAGCTAGTTGCATGCAAGACATTTAAATATTCATTTGACTCCATGTTTCAAGCAAGACAGTGTTAAACATGCAAAAAATCTGTAATGTGCACATGAGGATACAGCCGCCTATACAGACAACAAAACAAGGAGAACTCCTTTGATGAGAAACCAAAGGCAGAACACTGCTCCAATACGAAATGAGGCATGGGCTGCAAAAGGGCTAAATGTTACCCTTGAAATAGTATGTACAATTTCACAGACAGCAGCCCACATGCATTCTCAGGCAGACTTCGGACAAAGCATTTAGCCAAACCACCCAGTTATAATCAAGTACTTAATTTACAGTTAATACTTTATGTTATTAGGTGGTTTAAGAAGCAATGCTTCTTTGTTGGGTTCATTCCTGAAGAGCTGGTTTATATTTCATAATGCTTTACGTTAGTAGAAATGAACACATTCTTTAAAAACAAACACATTCCATCACCACAAGACATTCAGAATGCAAGGAAGCTCCTTCCATTGTAATGTTATCAAGTCAAAGATTCCCTGCAGCATCATGCATAAGTGAGATGACCAGCAATATTCACCATATTAAAGTTGATCCACTGGATTCGCCTGTTCCTCTCACACCCCAGATACTTATTTCTGCTCCTCCCATGAAAGAGCCCAGACCAATTCTCCTTGCATAATATTAAGTTTTGCTCTGTGCTATTGTCATGCCATACCTGAGCTGCCACAGGTTAGTAGTGCTTTGTTAGTTGATTTGAGGTGCCCAGGAGAGTTTAATGCATTGCTACAGGAGCTTGCCTCTGTATTCAAGTTATGTGCACTTGGTGATGCCAATGGACTGCAATACAGGTTTTTCCACCTACTGGCTAAAAGGAAGATATAAGAAAGCCACAAATGTTATCAAGTTCTCTTTGAAAACAAATGAGATTGAGGAAAGAAAGCATTAAGTCAAATAGGATCAAGCATTACTATCAGGCATTTAGAATCAGCCATCATGAATGGGCATAACACTTGCCAAAGTGACCAAGAAGACAAACAACATTTACTCTTCTCAAAAGCTCCCCCATCCTTTAATTTATATAGTCACTGATGAAAAGAACTCTAAGAGTAGTGTCCTCACTAAAACTGAAATTTTCTAGCACATATTTGAACATTTCAAGGCAGCCTTCAAACAGACTGTCTTAAAAGAAAAACAAGAACATGATGCAGAATTAACAGATATTTACAGTAACAGTTTAGTAGTCTTTACGCTTTGATGAGCACCATCCTTTGGATTTTTAGTCCTAATACTGACAAAGAATTATTCTATTTTTCGTAAGATTTTAGCTTCAAACTTCAAACAAAGTAGATCCATGGTGAAAAAAATAATCTGTTTTGAAACAGTTTTTAAAACAAAATATTAGTACAAGACAATAGTAAAGCAGAAGTGACAGCTCACAACTTGAGTCTTAATAACACTTTGATATATGCAGATACAGCACTATGTAAAGAATAGTTTCCATGAGTAAGTAATTAAGGAATTGCTAAACTATCATCCCACTGACACTCACTACCTAAAAACAAAAGATTTATGAAGATTTAATGAAGACTGAGTACTTTAAGTGTCCTATAAAGTCCCCTTTACAAATACTGAAAGAAACATGCAAAACTTTAGTTGAAATGAAATGAAGGAGTTCGCAAAGCTTATAGTGAGGCAATAGCAAGAACAAGAGATAAAATATGAAGATAAAATGAATGGTTAATATGATGAAGCCTTCAGCTTTCAATATGCACTTTAAACACCAGGCTTAAAACAAACTTGAGAATGTGTTGTACTAAGCATACAGCTGGCAAAAATGAAAAAGCATATAATTTTATAAAGGACCTAGAGCTGCACACAAAAATTTTTGGCTGAATTGAAGCCAATGTCATAACATTCACAGAGAAAAAAACATTGTCCATTTCAAAAGGTAAACAAACACTAATACTAGCTTTGTATTAAAAGTTTTTTTTTTCAATAGCTAAGACAGTGGTCACCAACCAGTGGATCTTGATCTACAGGTAGATCTCAGAGCCTCTTGGAGTCGATCTGAGGCTGGGGTGGGGGGCTGAATGCCCTTGTGCATGCATGAACGCACCCCAGCCCAGCAGGTCAGTCTGTGGGGAGGGAAGGGGCAGGGGCTAGATCGAAGCCCCCAGCAGTGAGGGACAGTGTTGCAGAGGCAGGAGCAGGGGTAAACTGAGTGGGGTGCTCGCTGGGTGGGACTTACCTGCTGTTAGGCATGCCCCCAAATAATTTTTTCTCCCCCTGCCTCGATCTGCCACCCTCCTTCCTTTCCCATAGACTTACCTGCTGGGCTGGTGGGGGGAGGGAGGAGGAGGAGGGGGCAGGGGATGGGACGGGACAGGGGACATAGTAGATCTTCGGTTGCTTTTAAATGCTAAAGCTGATGTCCTACTTAAAAAGATTGGAGACCACTGAGCTAAGACCATCATCTGACTTTCAAATGTTAGTTCTCCCAAGAACTCTGCACAGAATATGTGTTGCTCTTCACAGGATTTGGATTTAGGTTTAGGTTCTCATGAATCTAACCAGAGACAGTGATGTAAAAATGCATCACACTTTCCTGTCCTCTAATAACTAATTATTGACAGATGCTGCAGTTGCAGTTAGTTGCCTTTTTGGCTGTCAGGGAAGTATACCAAGAATCAAGAAAATGATGGATTAGAATGAGCATCAGTGATTCAACTCATGATTACTAACGAATTAAAAACTCATTTTATTTTGAGGCACTGGGAGTGTATTCGGAGTGGGAGGATGGGGGCAAAGATCCACCAGGACAGTCCTTGACTTGAAGCTAATTAACTACCATAACAGGAAAAGATGCCAACACATGTAATCAAAATCAAAATGAAATCAAATGTTCAAAGCTCTTTTTTGAAAACCTTGCTTCAGCTAAGTACCCCAGGGAACAGCCAATGGGCAGACTGTATTAAAAAAATGAATCCAGAACAGTGACTCAGAAGTCAGCATGCAACTAGGGAAGAGACAGTTCTATAAAATGTTACCCTTCAAATCCTACCCTAAGGAGTTTGATTACAAATTATCAGTTCAGGCACAGAAACAGAAATTGTCCAGTCTCTATGAAGTATTGTTTTTATGTAGTATTGAAAATCTAAATACACCATCATTCACAGAAGTTAGAAAATTCTAAATGCACCATTACATTGTTAGCACTGGAAGATGCAAGGGTAACCTTTTCCATAAATAATGCATTAAGAATTATTACGCAAGGAAGAAAATGAACTGCAACACTAATTTTTTTTTTGCAGGAATAAGCTACAGAGCCCAAAGTGAATCTTTTCTGACCAAAAACACTTTAACTATTTTTTTTTTTTTTTTTTTTT